AGCTAAGTAATTCACTGTAATCATTAAGTTGCTTAGGCCAGAAAAAAAAATTTTAGACTGAAAATGACGGAGAAGTTTTGAAATAACATTCCTCCATTTGTGTAAAATGATAGCTCTTGTTTCTGCAACAGGACTTCAGGGTTTCCAACGGACGACAGGGTTAACCCATTCTTTATAACTCTGCATTTGCACCAAATCCCCCAGCTGCCATCCATTTTGGCAACTACAGGAAAATAACCTGAAGGCAAAATTTGACTACTAGCATTTATGGAGGAGCATTTCCCATGTCAGGAAACGTGGGAGGCAATTCAAACATCTCAATCTTCACAAGACCAACAAAAGGCAGGTGGCATTACCTGATTTTACAACTACGGAAATTAGGATTCAGAAACCACAAATTACGCCGCTAACCTGGCCCTAGAAATTCAGGGTCTGAATCCAAAACAGTATTCTATTAGTCTACCTAGTCATAAATCAAATTATGTCTATATCCCTTCCCTCCTAAAACATAAGAAAGCTGGAACTAGATGTCTGATTCTAAGTGCTAGTAAGATCAGCGCTGGAGTCACTGCTCACACATGGCTATTGAATGCTTGAAATGACTTAGTATAGCTAAATTAAATCGTAACCACTGTTACTTAAATAAACAATAATCCCTTCTTTGTACACCTTGGACTTTAGTAATTTATGTATCAATTTTAATTTCAAAAATTAATTTGGCGGAACAAGATCAGCTACAAAAATATTTCTTATTCCAACAAATTTGCTCTTCGGTGATGCAAATGAAGATTCTCCCAAAATTCAAGGTGGATCACAATGGTTTTCATGTCACGATTCCCCTTTTGTAGACCTCTCTTAAAAGATGTCGCAGGTATGAAATAAGACTGAGCCACGGGAGAAGCGCAGCCCTTTGGACTCCCCTGCAATTTCTATAGCATTCACTCATATCTTGGGAGCACTTAGAACGAAGCTACCAAGAGGGTTTAAGAATGCAGCAATGAGCTGGGCGGATCATCTGAGGTCAGAAGTTCGAGACTAGCCTGACCAACATGGTGAAATCCCGTCTCTACTAAATTCAAAAAATTAGCCGGGCGTGGTGGCGGCCGCCTGTAATCCCAGCTACTGGGGAGGATGAGGCAGGAGAAGCGCTTGAACTCCGGAGGCGGAGGTTGCAGTGAGCCGAGATCGCGCCGCTGCACTCCAGCCTGGGCGACAGAGCGAGATTCCGTCTCAAAAAAAAAAAAAAAAAAAAAAAAAAAAAGCAACAATGCTACTGCACTGAGCATGCGGATTTAGCCTCAAGACTAAAATTCGCGACAAAAATGCACGACTTTTTTTAGAGGTTTAAAAAGATGAACGACAAAAAAAGAGACAACCTCCTCCCCACGCCATACACACCCGAGATTGTAACACAAATCAAGAATGCATTTGCACGGCTAAAGTGTTTGGGGAAAACAAAACAGGAAAAATCCTTCCTTCAAAATGGAGGGAATTCCTGCCGGGCAGTAGAGCCCCCAGAGCGGCGCAGCCAGCGCCATCGCCCATTGCGGGCCGCACCACGCGGTCGCCCTGGGCGGCCCACAGGAGGGTGGGCTGCAAGGACCCCTCCTGTGGAGGGCGACGGACGGAGGCAGCAGGCCCGGCCAGGGAAGAGAGGACCCACTCACGTTCTCGAAGCCTGTTCTTGAAGTTGGGGTCACTTCGTCTTTTGCGATCGAAGTAGATGCAGTACCCAATAAAAAGGGCTCCGCATACACCGGCGGCGATGGCGCTGTTCCGACCCACCATCTTCTCTACGACGCTGAGCGTGGACGGTGGCGGCAGGGACGGCGAAAGAGCGGTGGGCCACGAACCCTCAGAGAGGTCGGCGCAGCTCACACCCGACGGCCGCGGGCCAGGAACTCGGAAAGGCAGAGCACACGCCACTTCCGGTCCCAGTCAACTAAGGGCCTCGAGGTAGTCCGCGGCAGTGCCTGAGCACAGGTCCGGAGCGCGGCTCCTGCGGCTGCGCAGTGGGCCACGCCACCGATGCTCGTGCGCCGGTTCGTGTACGCACTGGAGTCGGGAATTTGCACGTGACCGCGCACTTTTTTTTTAAACCCGCGGACCATGCTGTAACGAAGCGGGCGCGTTGCTGGCGTGCACGTACTCAGAAGACTAGCTGACACCCTTGTTTGTGGCAGACAAGGATGCAGGGTCCCGGACTGCGAATGCTTCATCTTGTCTAACACAGGCAGCCTGTGACTTGTTTGAATTAAACTGTACTTTCTTTTCAAGTTGCCACAGTCCATTGTGCGTAGTGTTTCCATTTCAAAAGAATGTTACAGAATAGCCTCATTCTATGATAACTGGAATAAAATTAAATGGAGTAATTTCTTGAAAAATGTACACAATTGAAAAAAAATTGAAAACGTGAATTGTTTTATAGCCACATGAAAACATACACATGATCAAGCCAGGCGCGTGGCTCACGCCTGTAATCTCAGCACTTTGGCAGGCTGAGGCGGGCAGATCACTTAAGGCCAGTTCAAGACCAGCCTGGCCAACATCGTGAAACCCTGTCCCTACTAAAAATACAAAAATTAGCTGGCCATGGTGGCGTGGGCCTGTAATCCCAGCTACTCTGGAGGCTGAGGCAGGAGAATTACTTGAACCAGGAGGCAGAGATTGCAGTGAGCCGAGATCGAGCCACTGCACTCCAGCCTGAGTGACAGATCAGAACTCCGTCTCAAAAAAAAAAAATGCAATAAAACTATATATATATGATCAAAGTTAAGATATTCTGACAAGGAAAACCGTGGGCTGAAAGCAGCCATTAAACAGACACTGTAAGTTGAGGGGTATCAAAGAAGTCAAGCATCAGTGTCAGAGGCACTGGAACCAGAGCTACCTTACCTTGAATAGGGACTGGGTAAAATGAGGCTGAGACCCATTGGGGCACATTCCCAGGAAGTCTGGCATTCTTGGTCACCGGGTATTTACAGGGAAGGAAACAAGTTAATAATGTTTACCTAACACACCCAGGAAATGTTCTGATGTCTCGATATCTTAAGAACAAAAGCATTCTTAGTTTAATTTTCCCTTTAAATATTGATTCTTGCAGAAGACAGTAGTTACAGAGGATTAACAATCCTTTGACAAAGACCACGCAGTGTCTCACACCTGTAATCCCAGCACTTTGGCAGGCCCAGATGGGCGGATAGCTTGAGCCCAAGAGTTCAACACCAGCCAGGGCAACATGGTGAGACCCTGCCTCTACAAAAAAATTAAAAACTTAGCCAGGTGTGGTGGCACACACCTGTGGTCCCAACTACATGGGGAATGAGGCGGGAGGATCCCTTAATCCCAGGAGGTTGAGGCTGCAGTGAGTTATGATTACACCATTGCAGTCCAAGCTGGTGACAGGGCCAAGACCTTGTCTCACAACAAACACACACAAAAAAATCCTTTGTCACAAGCTCCTGTAGTAGAGCACATCTTCCCCATTATTTTTTTGCTGTTACATACAAACACTGTACCTAAGGTGGACATGTTCCTTCTCTTGCTTTAGAGTGTGTACCATTCTATGAAGTACCCCTTCTTTCACTTCTTTCTTTTTTTTTTTTTGAGACTGAGTTTTGCTCTGTCACCCAGGCTGGAGTGCAGTGGCATGATCTTGGCTCACTATAACCTCCACCTTCTGGGTTCAAGCAATTCTCCTGCCTCAGCCTCCCCAGTAGCTGGGATTACAGGTGTGTGCCATCACACACAGCTAACTTTTGTATTTTTAGTAGAGATGGGGTTTCACCATGTTGGCCAGGATAGTCTCAAACTACTAACCTCTGGTGATAAGCCCACCTCAGCCCCCCGAAGTGCTGGGATTACAGGTATGAGCCACCGCGACCGATCTTCTTGATTTTTTTTAACAAACTTGTTTTCACTTTACTCTGTGGACTGGCCCCAAATTCTTTCTTAGGCAAGATCCAAGAACCCTCTGTTGGGGTCTGGATCCAGACCTTTTCCAGTAACACCAGGCTGTGTAATAAAGAATTTGGCTGGCCTTTTCCCCCAGTTCCTGGGAGTTCTAACCCCTTGGAACTGACGAGTGATTCACTCCTGTAATCCTAGCACTTTGGGAGCCAAGTTGGGAGGACGGCTTGAGTCCAGCAGTTTGAGAGCAGCCTGGATACTGAAGCAACGTCGTTTGGGGTAAGCAAGGTTCGTTGCTTTGTGCCAAGGAAGTCAAGAACTTGAGCACACATGGAGTAAGGTTAAGAGCAAAGATTTAATAGGCAAAAGAAAGAGAAAGGAGGCGTGGGTGCGGCGGCTCATGCCTGTAATCCCAGCACTTTGGGAGGCCGAGGCAGGCGGATCACCTGAGGTCAGGAGTTCGAGACCAGCCTGGCCAACATGGTGAAACCCCGTCTCTACTAAAAATACAAACAATTAGCCAGGCATGGCAGCAGGTGCCTGTAATCCCAGCTACTCGGGAGGCTGAGGCAGGAGAAGTGCCTGAACCCGGAAGGCAGAGGTTGCAGTGAGCTGAGATCACGCCACTGCACTCCAGCCTGGGAGACAAGAGCCAAACTCCATCTCAAAAAACAAAAAACTTTCAAAGGTAGTATTACAATGTGAATAAACTGAGAATGTGGAAGTCTCCACATTTCACATATACCATCCACAAAAAAGTGTAAAACTAGGCCGGGCGCGGTGGCTCAAGCCTGTAATCCCAGCACTTTGGGAGGCCAAGACGGGCGGATCACGAGGTCAGGAGATCGAGACCATCCTGGCTAACATGGTGAAACGCCGTCTCTACTAAAACATACAAAAAAACTAGCCGGGCAAGGTGGCGGGCGCCTGTAGTCCCAGCTACGCGGGAGGCTGAGCCAGGAGAATGGCGTGAACCTGGGAGGCGGAGCTTGCAGTGAGCTGAGATCCGGCCACTGCACTCTAGCCTGGGTGACAAAGCAAGACTCCGTCTCAAAAAAAAAAAAAAAAAAGTGTAAAACTCAACACATGATTAGCAGACAATGCTATCAGCAGATAACTGCACTTTTATTAGCAGTACTCAGCAGGAAAAGAAAAAGCAGTTCCTGGTTGTTATTTCTATTTTCTTTGTTTCTTAGGGCATCCACTTTTCTTCTGTCCTTTCTTCTTCGTTTTAAGAACAGCTTTTTCTCCAATAAATAAGCTTTTAGAATGTTCTTCTGCAGCTTTGGAAGTAAAATTAAGTCCCTGCTTAGGTTTACCAATATTCTTCAATCGTGGATTTGAATTTTGTTGTTTTAATTTTTCTTTATTAACAGAACGCATGACTCTGAGTTTTCTCCCCATGACTTCAGAATTATTTAATTTCAGAGCAAGATGAACAGAATCTGTATTCTGCAAATCAAAAGAAAACACAATACATTAATTTCTACCAGAAACCCATCTGCAAAGAAACTAGTGAAAGTGTCACTTTAACAGATTCGAGAACAACTTTTGAGCTTGCACAGATAAGCCCCAACCAATCCCAGGTGTATCAGCCTCCTGATAGGCCCCCAGGCACTGGCCACCATGACCAGCTAGATTTTTAGTTTTTAATTTTTCTTTCTTATTTTAAGACAGGGTCTCACTCTGCCATCTAGATTGGGTGGCTCACTGCAGCCTTGACCTCCCAAGGCTCAGGTGATCCTCCTGCCTCAGTCCCTCAAGTAACTGGTACTATAGGCGTGCACCACCACGCCCAGCTGATTTTTGTATTTTTTTGTAGAGGCGGGATTTTGCCATGTTGCCCGGGCTAGTCTTGAACTCCTGGGATCAAGCAATCTACCTCCGCTGGCCTCCTAAAGTGGTGGGATTACAGGTGTGAGCCACTGCACCCGGCCTTACTTCTATATTTTTTTTGTTGAGTCGGCGTCTACCTATGTTGCCCAGGCTGAACTTGAAGTCCTCACCTTAATCCTTGCGCCTCAGCCCTCCAAAGTGCTGGGATGACAGTCACAAGTCAATATGCCCAGCCTGGATATTCTTTTACTCCTTAATATTGTCGGGCATGAAACACTGGTTAAAAATTAGTGAACTAAATATAACTAATTTTGTACAAAGAATAAAACTTTCTTATACCTTAATGTCAATTATTTACTCTATCATACAGAAGGTAGAGAAGATTCAGTGATTTAGTCCTTCTAATATCCAGGATCTAAAACATTTAATTAGTATGAAGAAAGAACTGGGACATATTTTGGATAGGTACAGTTGTAGCAATATATTATGGCAGGTTATAAATTCAGTTTTCTTTTTTTTTTTTGAGACGGAGATTTACTCGTGTTGCCCAGGCTGGAGTGCAATGGAGCGATCTCAGCACACAAGAAACTCTGTCTCCCGGGTTCAAGCAATTCTCCTGCCTCAGCCTCCCAAGTAGCTGGGATTATAGGAATGTGCCACCACGCCCAGCTAATTTTGTATTTTTAGTAGAGATGGGGTTTATTCACCTTGGTCAGGCTGGTCTCGAATTTCCGACCTCAGGTGATCCACCCGCCTTGGCCTCCCAAAGTGCTGGGATTACAGGCACAACCCTCCGCGCATTGCCGGTTTTGTTTTTTTTTTCTTTGAAATGGAGTCTTGCTCTGTCGCCCAGGCTGGAGTGCAGTGGTGTGATCTTGGCTCACTGAAACCTCTGCCTCCCAGGTTTAAGTGATTTTCCTGCCTTGGCCTCCCAAGTAGCTGGGATTACAGGTATGAGCCACCACATCTGGCTAATTTTTTAATTTTTTGTATCTTTTTTCCCCCCTTGAGATGGAGTCTTGCTCTGTGGCCCAGGCTGGAGAAAAATGGAACATTCTCGGCTCACTGCAACCTCCACCTCCCAGGTTCAAGTGAGTCTCCTGCCTCAGCCTCCTGAGTAGCTGGGATTATAGGTGCCCGCCACCACACCTGGATAATTTTTGTACTTTTAGTACAAACGAGGTTTTACCATGTGGGCCAGGCTGGTCTCGAACTCCTGAGCTCAAGAGATTCACCCATCTCGGCCTCCCAAAGTGCTGGGATTACAGGCGTTGAGTCACTGCACCCAGCCCAGTTTTCTTAAGATGGAATTTGAGAATGGAAGTGAAAGTTATCTCTCAATGATGACACGTAGTAGTATCAATGCCTCCCAGGGCACTTCGAAGGACAGTGACAATGCATTAGTCTCCCATACCTCAAAGAGGACATAGCCAAACCCTTTGCCGATGCCTGTCACTTGGTCTCTCACAATCCTCACGGCCATGACACTTCCACAGTCCAGAAAGTGCTTCTCAACGGCAGATTCTGCAACTTCTGAAAACAAATTCAACCAAAATGGAAGTAAAGAGTTGGGAGCTCCTCAGAAACATGGAGATGTTTAATAATACAGCTAGTTAAGCATGGCCCCATGATAATAAGTCATTATATTGCATACTTTTTAGTACATGTGCTGCCATGGCAAACACGTTGCGTGCTTTAAAATTAGTCTTAAATCAAAACATTAAATTACTACTCAGTTCTTATTTCCTTGTTATTTATTTAGTAACATTAACCATACTTTGTTTAAACAAACTTACTATAAGGGAGATTCCCCACAAAAACCGATCTCTTGTCTCTCTGAAACAAAAAGACAGTTAATAAAAATCACTCATTAGACCAGAAAATGGAAGTCATTGAAAATCCTCGCTCTCTCTCCTTCCCCCCATATCTGACAGGTCACCAGTCTCCTAATTTAGCCACACATTCTGTTCTTCGATTCTGTTTCTTCTGTCTTCCCTACTGGACTGTGTGTGGGCACCAGAGGAAGGGAGTGGCTTTTTGTCCACAGCTGGCACTGACACATGGAGTGATCAGGAACAGCCTGCTACACTGGGCGCATGCAAATTTTCTCTGTGAAGGGCCAGATAGCAAATATAGGCTTTGCAGGCCATGTGGAATCTGTTGCAACTACTCAACTCTGCCATTATACCTTGAGAACAGCCCATGGATAGTACACAAATGAATAGTTGTGGCTGTGTGTCAAAAGAAAACTTTATTAACAAGAAAAAAGCAGCAGGTAGACTTAGCTCTCTACCATAGTTTGTTGACCCTGTACTGGGTCCCCAGGTCAAGCCAGGGCTTTCATCCGGGTCGCTGTCATTTCCCCACTAAGTTGCTTTGATATCGACAGAAATGCACTCTATGTTTCCGTGGCTGAACTAAGTGTCCTTCGTTCATTTCTAGGCACCTTTTTCAAGTCCAAATCTGGTCATGTCACTCTGAGTTTAAATTTTTAGAATAGCTCCTGAACAAAATCCAGACTCCTCTGCGTGAAGCACAGTCAACAAGGTCTTCATGATTTGGCCTCTACCTATTTGTCCAACAGCAACTCTTACACACCTCACCCATCTAATAATTGTATCAAGCTCTTGCCATCTCCTGAGTGAATTATTTTCTGTCCTCACCATTTATACTGTGTTTTTCTGCCCAGACATGGCCCTCAGCCTTTACAACACTTTTGGTCTACATAAGCCTTCTCTTCTTTCTTTTTTTACCCCTGCTTCTCCACAGGGTAAGTTCTATCTCCTCATCTTTCAAGACTATCATGAAATTTATTCCCCTGGAAACTTGCCTTGTCCCTTCTTCCTGGCATATCCCCAAGTCAAGTGTCCCAATCCTGAGCTGACAAATCATCCTGTGCATTGACGACAGTACTTATACAAGTGACATGACCTGTCACTCCGACCCTTTCTAACATATACTGTCAGCTCCTAGGAAGTTGAGACTATGTCTTAGAACTGTATCTCTGACAGAGTATGTACTAAAAACTGTCTAATGAATAACTGAACTTTCTAGACCTTGGTCTATAAAGTGTTAGACCAGATGATGTCTAATGTACCTACTGACCTAATTATGATTATTTGAAGAGGACTATGTTTTTGTTTCTTTTTAAGAAACAGGGTCACCCTCTGTTGCCCAGGCTGGAATGCAGTGGCATGATCACAGCTCACTGCAGCCTCAAACTTCTGGGCTCAGGTGATCCTCCCACCTCAGCCTTCTGAGAGCTGGGACTATCAGCATGCATCATACACTTGACTAATTTTTTTTTTGTAAAGGCAGGGTCTTGCTACATTGCTCAGGCTGCTCTAACTCCTGGGCTCAAGTAATCCTCCCGCCTTGGCCTCCCAAAATGTTAGGATTACAGGCATGAGCCACTGTGCCCAGCCAGGACTACGTTTTTGAAGGGAATGTTGACCTCGGTCCTTGTGCCTCTCTTGCCATCAACTCTGTAATCACAGAGGACATAGGCTGTTTCCTTCTGTGCTTCCCTCATATTGCTGATTCCAGTCCCCTTCCAGGAAAAGCCTGGAAGGAAAGATTTCTCTCTACAAAGCTTTCGTTCTTTAAACAAATCAAGTACTACTTACAGATGAGGTCTCAGATGCGAGATCAACTCTAATACGAAATCCATCTGCAATTTGGGCCCCATTTCTATGTTATAAATACAAAGGGAAAATGGTTGTTAAAAATGAGTACTCAATTACTAAAACATCTATGCTAAAGTGAAACCAAAGAATAAACAAAGTACTCACACATACTTATACGACAATTATTCTGTTCAAACCTAAGGGATAAAATTACCTTTTCAACGCCTGTGTGGCAGCACTCTCTTCCTTAAACACAACATAGGCATTAATATTTTTCTGATCAGGATGAATTTTACGTCTACACCAAAAAAAAAAAAAAGAAAGAAAGAAAAGAGAGACAAGGTAAAGTTTGTTAGCCTCAAAGTCACTAGAAAAAATCCAGTTTGTTTTCAACTCTTAATCAACACACATGACAAGAATTCCTGGGTGGAAATTTCATCTCTTTGAACAAATATTTAGTAATAACTCAAAAAATAACACACAACTTAAAGATATTGATGGAGACACAACCCACACTTTTTTAAGAGTCATAACCATGAGAAAACAGATGGACCATGTATATGAATCCCTGAGAACCATACAAGAACTGAAAACTAACATCTTAGCTGCAGTCCGTATGTAACACACGAACAGTTGTGAGACGTGAGTTTTCCTCTTTACTGTAAAACACCCATATAGAAGAGTGCACAAACCACGTATAGCTGAGCGAATTAACAGCTCAATGTGCCCTGTAGCCCACTCAGAAGCCTCCCTGTGGCCCTTTCCAGTTGCAGCCCCTCCTTCCCTCCAAAGGCAACCACCATTCCCATTTTTATAGGAACTACTTCCCTGCACATCTTTGTGGTTTTATCAGCCAAGTGTCTTAGACATCATACTTTGATCTTGTCTATTCTTTTGACCTGATATGTCTTTTGAATCTTGTTTAATTTACAGAACTTTCTCTGGATCTCTGTATCTCACTGTTCGGCCTGCAGAACTCCCCCCAGCCTGGATTTTGTGACTGCAAGCTCATCAAGTAGTTCAACACAAACCTTTGTCCTCTATACTTCTTGTAAACTGGCAGCTGCATCCAAAGGCTGGATCAGACTCAGATGTGACCCCTTTGTCACGACTGTTGGTGGGTGTTGTGTTCTTTCCAGAGAGTCATGTTATGACTGGTTTTTACCCTGTGTCAATGACTGCAGCTGGTGTTACCAAATGCCTAAACTCATTGAGTCACTAGGTTTGCAAAACGGTGATATAATTTGGTTGTGAGGAGTTAGCAAAAAGGACCTAGTAATGAACACAGATCTTTCCCTGAAGACATCAACCTACTGTTTTGAAGTAACAAAAACGCTACTACACAAATGAGTATCATCAAGAACGGAACTGGAAAACAGTGCTTGACATGACTCATGGCATTCTGTAATAATATACTACACTAATGCTTTTGTATTGATTAAACCAGCTGTGATTTACTGAATGCCTAATATATACCAGACACTCAGTTAGATATTTAATGTATTTCATTTAATCTCACAACTCCAACAGGTGTTTTTTTTTTCTGATTTTATGAGTAAGGAAGCTGAGACTGAAAGAGATACGTGACTGTGATGAAACGGCAACAAGTGGCTGGCCTAGGACTGAAACCAAGTCTAGCTGACTCTAGAGCCCTGCTCTTTCACACAACACACAGCTGCTGACAACATCCAAATCCAACACATCCTAGTGCACCCCCAGGAACAAATGCTGGAGTTCCACTTCCACCTAGAATGTCAAAAGCCAGAAAGTGCATCACTCCTGCCCTTACCAGTTAAGAAGAAACCAGATAACCCACAGCATCATAACTTCTGTTGCAGCCATCAGAGAGCTGAAGTCTTGGGGAAAGCCAGCAGCTAGAAGCTAAGGACACGCCTGCTCCCTCCAACGAGAGACAGAGGAAGCACTGGCTCTACTGGCTCTATGACGGCTGAGCACAGGGGCAAAATGCTGGACACCAGACAAGCAGGAAAGATTCCCACCATGATCTCACTAAAACACTAGAGTTCAGTGTGGGCTGGGCCTGAAACAGAAGTCCTGGAGGCTGCTGACGCAGGAGTGTGCACCCATCCTCAGGATCTGCCCCAATGACCTCCACTCTGTGGGAAAGGCCGACATCGCAGCCATGGGTGCTGCAGGCCTGGAGGACGGAATGGCCAAAGTGTGGGAAAGGCACAAAGCCCCACCTGGATTCTTCTCTTGATGGAGGAGAAGGCTAAGCTGCTAGGGGAGGGATAGCAAACCCTGTCACTCCAGGGCACAGAGAAGACCCCTACAGCCGGAAGAAGGGAGGAGTCCAGCTACCAGGGGAGAGGTGGGAAACATCCTCTGCGCAATCCCCACTAAAGGCACAAGGCATCTGGCACAGCTTGGCTGCCCCAGGAAAAATGCCCTGATCAGGTGCACTCCTGAGACACAGAAACACTAAGACAAGACAGCAGAGACCCTGCTGTGCCCACTCCCACCAGACTACCAAGCAAATGACAAACAACAGCACTCTTTATTTTGAGATGGAGTTTCACTCTTGTAGTCCAGGCTCGAGGGCAATGGCACGATCTCGGCTCACTGCAACCTCTAACTCCCGGGTTCAAGCGATTCTCCTGCCTCAGCCTCCCGAGTAGCTGGGATTACAGATGCCTGCCACCACACCCGGCGAATTTTTGTATTTTTAGTAGAGACAGGGTTTCACCATACTGGCCAAGCTGGTCTTGAAATCCTGACCTCAGGTGATTCACCAGCCTTGGCCTCCCAAAGTAATGAATTACAGGTGTGAGCCACTGTGCCTGGCCAACAACAGCACTCTCTAAATGAGATCTTTGATAAAACCTACAACTTTCAATCTCTAAGAGACACCTCTGGGCGGGTGCGGTGGCTCATGCTTGTAATCCTAGCACTTTGGGAGGCTGAGGTGGGTGGATCATCTGAGGTCAGGAGTTCGAAACCAGCCTGGCCAACATGGTGAAACCCAGTCTCTACTAAAAATACAAAAATTCGCCAGGTGTGGTGGCACATGCTTGTAATCCCAGCTACTTGGGAGGCTGAGGCAGGAGAATCACCTGAACCCGGGAGGCGGAGGTTGCAGTGAGCTGGGATCGCACCACTGCACTCCAGCCTAGCGACAGAGAGAGACACTTCTAAAAAAGCCAGCCACAAACTGGAGCAAAATATCTGAAACACACATAGCAGGAAAAGGTGTTATATCTACAATATATAAATAACTCCTTACAATTGTATAAAAATAATTTAAAGGTCACTAAAAAATGGGCAAAATTTTTGTACCAACATTTCACCAAAGAATAGATACAAATAGTAAGCACATAAGATGCTTAACATCTGTAGTCACTGTGGTTGGCAAACCTTTAGAATGGCTAAAATTAAATGACGATGCCAAGTGCTGGTGAGGATGTGAAGTAACTGACATTCTCATCTATAGCTGGTAGGAATGTGAAATGGTACAAGCACTTTGGAAAACAATTTTGCAGTTTCTTAGAAAGTTAAAATATACCATAAGATCCGGCAATCCCACCAGGCAGTTTCTCAAGAGAAATGATCCGTACCCAAATCTTTTTAGCATTTTTATGTATAACAGCCAAAGGCTGAAATAACCTGAATGTTCATAAACTGGTGAATGGGGCCGGGTGCGGTGGCTCACGCCTATAATCCCAGCACTTTGGCAGTCCGAGGTGGACAGATCACCTGAGGTCAGGAGTTTTAGACCAGCCTGACCAACATGGCAAAACCTCATCTCAACTAAAAGTATGAAAAAATTAGCCGGGCATGGTGGATATGTGTCTGTAATCCCAGCTGCTCGGGAGGCTGAGGCATGAAAATCACTTGAACCTGGGAGGTGGAGGTTGAAGTTAGCCAAGATGGTGCCACTCACTCCAGCCTGGGCGACAGAGCAAGACTCCATCACAATACAATATGATACATCACAATAAATACAATACAACACAACACAATAAACAGGTGAATACACAAACAAATGGTACTGTCATACAATGGAATACTACTGAGCAATAAAAACGAATTAATTACCAATGCATTGCAATAATAAGAACAAATCTCAGACGGGCACGGTGGCTCAAGCCTATAATTGCAACACTTTGGGAGGCAAAGGCAGGAGAGCTGCTTGAGCTCAGGAGTTCAGGACCAGTCGGGGCAATAGTGATACCTTGGCTCTACTAAAAACTTAAAAATATCAGCCGGGTGTGGTGGTGAGCACCTGTAGTCCCAGGTATTTAGGAGGCTGAGGCAGGAGGACTGCTTGAGCCCAGGTGATCAAGGCTACCGTGAGCCATAATCCGCCACTGGACTCCAGCCTGGGCAACAGCACAAGACACTGTTCCCCTCCACCAACCCTCCCCCACAAAAAAAAAAACCTCAAAATCATTATGCTGAGCAAGTTAGACAAGAGTACACCCTGTATGATGACTCTACTTACATAAAATTCTGGAAAAGGCAAACTAACACATAGAGACAGAAAGCAAGTGAGTGGCTACCTGAGGACAGAGGTGGAGGGACATATTGCAGAAGGTTAGGAAGAAACTCAAGGAGATAAAGCGTTCAGTATTGGGACTATGGCAGTGATTTCAAGACTGCCTACATATGTTAAAATCATAAAACTGTACATGTCATATATGTGTAGTTTACTGGAAGTAGCCTTAATAAACCAAAAAAAAAAAAAAAGTTTTAAACATTTTGGCTATAAGAAAAAGGAAAAAAGTTTTACATGGCAAAATTTCCCATAAGCCAAGTCAAAAAGCCAACGAGCTGGGGTGTGGTGGTGTGCACCTGTAGTCCCAGCTACTCGGGAGGCTGAGGCAGAATGATTACTTGAGCAAAGGGAATTCCAGGCTATAGTGGACTATGATTGAGTCACTGCACTCCTGCTGGAGAACAAAGCAAGACTCTAACTCTTAAAAATAAAAAAAGGGCCGGGCACGGTGGCTCATGCCTGTAATCCCAGCACTTCCGGAGGCTGAGGGGGGCAGATAACCTGAGGTCGCGAGTTCGCGACCAGCCTGACCAACATGGGGAAGCCCCGTCTCTACTAAAAATACAAAATTAGCCAGGCGTAGTGGCACATGCCTGTAATCCCAGCTACTCAGGAGGCTGAAGCAGGAGAATCACTTGAACCAGGGAACCAGAGGTTGCAGTGAGCTGAGATCGTACCATTGCACTTCAGCCTGGGCAACAAAAGCAAAACTCCATCTCAAAAAATAAATTAAATAAATAAATAGCAAATGACAAATAGAGAAAAAATATTTACAATTCATGTCACAAAACGCTGATTTCATGAACATCCCACAGATCAGTAAGATTAGTAATTCAAATAAAACAAAGCACAAATGACTCTTAAATTACATGACAAGATGCTCACTCATAAGAGAAATTCAAATTAGAAATACCACACTCAACTATCAGGTTTCCAACAATCACAAAGCTCAAAAACGTACTTTTTTTTTTTGAGATAGGGTCTCACTCTGTCATCCAGGCTGGAGGGTAGTAGTGCAATCATGGTTCATTGCAGCCTCCACCCTCTGGGCTCAAGTGATCCTCCCACCTCAGCCCCCAGAGTAGCTGGACTACAGGCGTGCACCACCTTGCCCAGCTAATTTTTGTATTTATTTGTAGAGATGGGGTCTCGCCATGTTGCCCAGGCTGGTCTCAAACTCCTAGGCTCAAGCAATCCACCCACCTCAGCATCCCAAAGGTGCTGGGATTACAGGCACGAGCCATCTTCCCTGGCCAACATACCGTTTTTGTAAAGTAAAAAACGTTACTGTTGGTAAAGATGTGGGAACATAAATAGGTTGCAATCTCTACGAGACAGCAGTCAAAATTATGAATGCAAATGCCCTTCTGACTGAGCAATGCCACTGCTAGAATTTTATCCTACATATAAGTTAGCTCATGTACAAAATTACCTGAGTACAAGGTCACTCATTTACTCCGACATTATCTGTTTTGTTTTGAGAGAGCGGGTCTTGCTTGTTGCTCAGGCTACAGTGCAGTGGTGTGATCACAGTTCACTGCAGCCTCAAGCTCCTGGGCTCAAGTCATCATCCCACGTCAGCTTCCTAAGTAGCTGGGACTACAGAGTCGTGCCTCCATGACCAGCTAAAATATTACAGCAAGGTTATTTATTTTATTTTATTTTTTGAAGACAGGGTCTCACTCTGTCACCCAGGCTGGAGTGCCAGTGGCGCAATCACAGCTCCACGTCCTGAGCTCAGGTATTCCTTCATCTGATTCCCAAGTAGCTGGGACTACAGTGCACAGCATCATGCCCAGTTAATTTTTTGTAGAGATGGGGTTTTGCCATTTTGCCCAGGGAGGTGCTGGGCTCAAGTGATCTGCCTGCCTTGGCCTCTAACAGTGCTGAGATTACAGGCATGAGCCACCGCACCCGGCCTCTAGCATTATTTGTAATGGCCATGAGACTGGGAAAAAACTTTACGTCCATCAGTGGGAGATTTGATAAAATAAATTAAGGTACACCTACAGAATACTCTAAGAAAAAGGGCGTTTTTAAAAAATGCTATAAAAATAATCACTTTCACACCAATATAAACAGATCTCCAAGTTGTACCAAGTAGAAAAAGGGAAAGTGTGGAGTAGTGTATATGTTGAATACCAGTGAGTTAAAATGTTTTATGTGGAAAGAACATGTATGCGTATCAGTTTTTAAATGCTAAGATATCTGTAGAAGCTTACATAAGAAACTAAAAACACTTGCCTAGGGTAGGGAATTGGTTGACTAGAGAAAAGGTATATAATTAAATTTTTTTTATTTATTTATTTTGAGACACAGTCTCGCTCTGTTGCCAAGGGTGGAGTGCAATGGCACAATCTGGGCTCACTGCAACCTTCGTCTCCTGGGTTCAAGTAATTCTCATGCCTCAGCCTCCCAAGTAGCTGGGACTACAGGCATGAGCCACCACACCCTGCTAATTTTTCTATTTTTAGTAGGGACAGTGTTTTGCCATGTTGGCTAGGCTGGTCTCAAACTCCTGGCCTCACGTGATCCGCCCACCTCGGCCTCCCAAAGTGCTGGGATTACAGTTGTGAGCCACCACATCCAGCCATCATTACATTTAGAATTAAAAACAACAACAAAAAGGCAGTGGCTCATGCTCGCAATCCCACTGCTTTAGAAGGCTGAGACAGAAGGATTGCTTGAAGCCAGGGGTTCAAGACTAGCCTGAAAAACATAGTGAGACTCTGTGTCATAAAATAAAATAATAAAATAAAATAAAATAAATAAATTAAATAAAAATTAAAATTAAAATAAAATAAAACAAATAAATAAAATAAAATAAAATAGCCAGGGTGGTGTGCACATCTGTAGTCCCAGCTACTGGGGATGCTGAGATGGGAGCATCACTTGAGCCCAAAAGTTTAAGGCTACAGTGAGCCAAGATCTTGCCACTGCACTCCAGTCTGGATGACAGAGCAAGAGCTTGTATGTTAAAACAAAACAAAACAAAACAAACAAACAAAGAATGAGATGGGGCTGGAGGAGAAGCTGACGGTATGGTGTGAAAATTCCAATTTTCTAACATATCCCGCTAAACTCCTTAGTAGTACTTGTACATACACCTATCAGAACCTCTGTTTCTGTTCAAATTTAGGCTCCTGGGTTTCAACCTCATACAGAAATAAAAGTATGACTCAAAAAGAAGGGTTGTATCTTACTAAAGCTTTTAGTATCCACAGCACTGAACAATGCCTGGTATCTAGCAGGATCTGCATCTTTGGTTACCTCCGCAAACACTGTGGGAACCTATACATTCATCAAATCTTAACTATACACCTGGCGCTGTGATGGTTATGAGGAAAAACTGGCGAAGACCTGGTTGGCGAAATAACTCCAAATGAAGACTGAACATTGAAATGGAGTCACCAAGATGTCCAAAGGGACTGTTGTCATACAAAAGTTTGATAGAACAGGATTGCCAGAAATGTTTCTAAAGTACATTATATTTTATCTAATATAAAATCTCTGATCATAAACTTCATCATTTCACGTACCATTAATACAGAAAAACACCCAAGATATGAGACTAATAGGAAACCAGCATAAAGCTGAAGGTAAGTGAAAAATAAGCCTTCCATAAGGAAGGGCGAACAAGGAGACTTGTATGTTTCATTCTTGGCACTGAGTGGGAAACAAAAAAATCCCGAGCACTGGAAACAAGCCATTACCAGGATGGTCCAAAACCCTCAGACAGAGAATGTCAAGTGGTCACCGGCTGGCAGTATACCCAGGTGACCAGCACAAGCAAACGTGAATTCTCTCTGGAAAAACACAGGAAATAAGGCATTTGTAATCCGTATGAGAAAATTCAGGCATGAAGCTTTACAGTCGCTTCCAACACTAAAAACATTCATAAAATTTCCATGGCTCAATTTCCAGTAATATTTTCTACGACTCTATAATTTACATTATGGCTTAAAGAAAAACATGTGACAAATTTAAAGGCTCTAAAATACAGAAGCAAATAGTCAAGCATCCTCTATTATCCAACTATATTAATAAAATATATGAAATTGTTAAGAAATGGTCTCACTTTTTAGCCACAAAGGAAGAAAGTTTAAGGTGATTCCCTTCCTCTAATTATAGACTTACTTTATTGCTGCCAGCTTTTTGGATAGAGTTCCCTCTGCTGGAATCTTTTAAGAGAAAGAAAAAGTATTAAAGACAGTATTTGAAATATTACCTCAAATTAATATTTTAAGTGAAGTCTAAATATCCAACTCCAGTACACTGTGATCAAAAACATCCCAGGGAAATAAACAAATCAAAAACAATCATCCTAATGTATTTCTTTTTTTCTGTTTTTTTGAGACGGAGTCTCACACTGTCGCTCAGACTGGAGTGCAGTGGCATGATCTCGGCTCATTGCAAGTTCTGCCTCTTGAGTTCACACCATTCTCCTGCCTCACCCTCCCGAGTAGCTGGGACTACAGGTGCCCACCACCACGCCCGGCTAATTTTTAGTATTTTTAGTAGAGATGGGCTTTCACCACGTTAGCCAGGATACTCTCGATCTCCTGACCTCATGATCCACCCGCCTCGGCCACCCAAAGTGCTAGGATTACAAGCATGAGTCACTGTGCCTGGCCAATCATCCTAATGCTATATGAAATGAAGCTTGTGGCTTAGGATAAGCTTTTCCAACGAAACCATCATGCTCAGATTTAAAAGGCTCAAAAACCCAGACAGAAGTTAAGATTCTGGGCTCTCAAATTGCATCAGATGACTCCAACAGGGAGGACACCAGGAAGAGACACCGACGATGAAAGACACATGAAAAATGTAAGGAAAAGGCCGGGTACGGGTGGCTCATGCCTGTAATCCCAGCACTTTGGGAGGCCGAGGCGGGTGGATCATGAGGTCAGGAGATTGAGACCATCCTGGCTAACACGGTGAAATCCCATTTCTACTAAAAATACAAAAAATTAGCCGGGAGAGGTGGCGGGCGCCTGTAGTTCCAGCTACTCAGGAGGCTGAGGCAGAAGAATGGCGTGAACCTGGGAGGCGGAGCTTGCAGTGAGCCGAGATTGCGCCACTGCACTCCAGCCTAGGCGACAGAGCAAGACTCTGTCTCGAAAAAAAAAAAGAAAGAAAAATGTTAAGGAAAAAGAAAGGTTTATAAAGTAACATTTTATCGTGTTATAATTCTAAAAATTAGAATTAATTTTTAAATATGTCTAACTAAACTGATGAATAACATAAAAAGACATATCACCTGTATCTCTAAGAGTTTATATATTTTAACAGGCAAAAAAATGCATGGTGTCTTTCATTGTGCAGGTATGGGAATCCCCTTTATATTCAGGTTCACTTTATTTTCAGTCACATATAGTCTCCTTTAAGAGTGGATGGGGTAGGTAAGGAAAACTTCACGGAAGAGGCAGAAATACACGTCAACAACTACAGCTGTCGACGACATGCCAGATGCAACCAGGTACTGAGAAGATCAAGGTGAAAAGATACCAATCCTGCAAGTTCACAATCTAGGAGCATGTAGAACGTAAATGCCATGTAGGGCAGTTATTATAAATCTTTTCTGGAAAACCTATTTTCTTTCTCAGTAACCTGATAGTTTACATAGTAAAACCAAGAAATTTTAACTATTTCTTCTATTTGCAGTTTATCTTACTAAAACTGCTAATATAGTCAAACTCTCAAACCTCAAAAAAACAGTCAAGATGTAGAAATGTCTAAATGAATAATCAACATGTGAATGACATCATCAAAACACATTTATTGGGTGCCTTCTGTACAGGGTCTATATCCCATTATTTGTTTGGTTTTGTATTTTTTTGTTTGTGTTTGAAACAGAATCTCACTTTGTCGCCCAGGCTGGAGTGCAGTGGCACAATCTTGGCTCACTACAACCTCCGCCTCCCAGGTTCAAGCGATTCTCCCACTTCAGCCTCCCAAATATCTGGGATTACAGGCCCCCGCCACCATGCCCGGCTAGTTTTTGTATTTTTAGTAGAAACGGGGTTTTGCCATGTTGGCCAGGCTGGTCTCGAACTTCTGAACTCAAGTGATCTGCCTTGGCTTCCCAAAATGCTGGGTTACAGGCATCAGCCACTGCACCCGGCCTACACCTGCCATTGAAGATATTAATAAATAAGTATAACATAAGGCAATAAAGTACAAGAATAATGCGGAGGAAAAAACATCGTTTAATGATATAAAGTATCAGAAAAGCTTTGAAGAAGGGACATCTTAGCCGCATACTGAAAAATACTTTCATAGGCAAAAAAGGTTCCTTAAGGAAGGATTCCAGGCAAAACAAATAGACCAGCAAAGGGACAAAGGAGAGAAAACCCATGTGTAGAGGAACACAGGATGGGCGGGGCCACACTGGAGAACTGTCAGGCTAAGAATTAAGGATGTATTTCACTGACAGTGAGAATAATTAACACAATGTACAGGTGCTGGTAACCCAACAAGAAGAAAGACAAACAGAGTATTTGTAATCACAGCTTACAGTGTGGTGGAGGCGGCAAATAACAATTTCAGTAGAGTGTACTAAGTACTATAATGAGGGATAGGTGCAGTAAAATGCATAGCAGGGACACACTGGTAGCCTAGAGACTGGGGAGAATCAAGGCAGGCTCCCCAAAGGGGAGAAGGCAACAGCAGGCCCAGTGAGGGGTGTGTGTGTGGCGGCTGGTGGGGGACAGGGAGGGGGCCGGGGGGAAGGGCGTTTCATTAATGCAAGGCAGGGAAAGCAGCAAGGGTTCCGGGAAGAAGAGCTTCAGGAAGACTTAGTTGACAGTGTTTTGTTGGACAAATTAGAGGAAGACCGAAGGTAGGAACTATAATAGGCCTCTCCAACTATTCTGACAGGAGGTAATGATAACTTAGGTAGGACAAGGGAAAAAGAAAGGAATGACTCATATTAGGAAGAAATCACAGTTGAAAAACGGACAGGAATGGCAAACACTAGCATGGGTGAGCCAATGCAGAGTCAAAGGCAACCACAAAACCTGCAGCCTGGGTGCCACTAAATACCACAGAAAAATCAGTAGGCAGCATAGGGTTGGGGTGAGAATGGATGGAAGTAAGCAGATATACTGAAATCAGGGTATGACAAGACACCCACAAACAATGCATTAGCCAAAGGTCTAATACGGGGAAATGGAACTCAGAAGGGCAGACAAAAGATATGTGATAAGAGTGGGAAATAGACACCCTGACAGAAATTATGGGCACTGTCAAAACTTTGGGTAATGTCTACTTCTATAGAAGTGGGCAGTTGTGCCTCCTCCAACATTTGGCAATTCCTGAAGATATTTTCCATTGTTACACTGAGGTGCAGGGGGCGCTACCAGCATCTAGTGGGTAAAGACCATGTATGTTACTAAACATCCTATAATACAAAGGGCAGCCTCCAACAACAAAGAATTATCCACTCCAAAATGTCAACTGTATGGAGGTTGAGAAACTCTAATCACATGAGAAAGAGCAATTAGAAACATGAAAAAGGCTGGGCACAGGGGCTCATGCCTGTAATCCCAGCACTTTGGGAGGATGAGGCAGGCAAATTACCTGAGGTCAGGAGTTTGAGACCAGCCTGGATAACATGGTGAAACCCTGTCTCGACTAAAAACACAAAAATTAGCCGGGCGTGGTAGCCCACGCCTATAATCCCAGATACCTGGGAGGCTGAGGCATGAGAACTACTTGAACCCAGGAGGCGAAGGGTGCAGTGAGCTGAGATCCCACCACTGAACTTCAGCCTGGGTGACACAGAGTAAGACTCTGTCTCAAAAAAACAAACAAACAAAAAACAAAAACAGAATAAACATTTCCTATATTCTAATATACATTAATTATGCAACAGTGTCCAAAAACGTACACTATGGTACGTCAACTATGCCTATGCAGTTTAAAAAAAAAAATCATGTATGGGAAAACCAAATATAAATGATACTTATTTCCTGCTCTAAAGAATGTGGCTATAACTGGTCCAGAGTGCTGAGCTGGTAAAATCCAACTCACTTCTATAAAAAGTTTTAATATTAAATTGACTTAAACACTTGATCTGTCTGTGCTCAGAGAACAAGGACTGTTTGCAGCAATCACACCCACCTCCCATACTAAATGCATATGATGAGACATAAGAGAATGCCTAGGATTCCAGCAACGATAACCAGTATTAACTTTTCAGCCTATTCTGTTGACACAGTAAATAACTCACCCATCCACCCTACAAAGTATATTGCAGGCTTTCATAGCAAGAGTATCATTTTATTAAGTAAACTCACTACATTAAATAGTTCAAGAGTCAGCAGTAGATAATAAGAGCAACTCTTTTCTTGGGTTAAATTTGAACCTATTGATTCAAAAGGTTAAAGTGCTCCACCATCTCACTAATAGCAAGAAGTTAATCTGATTTAAATGCAACACATTTTAGTATTATGTAATTTTATGGGGGAATGAAACATACCAGGGAACGAAATCGTACAGATTCTATTTGTCCATACTCTTTAAAAAACGATTTCAGCTTCTAAAATGAAAAGAAACACATACACATTAGCTCACCCTCAGAATATCAAATAAGTGCTATAAAAGGGAATTAAGAAAAATTGTCCGATAATCCTTACTGCCAGGTATTTTTTTTTTTTTGAGACAGAGCCTTGCACTTTCACCCAGGCTACAGTGCAGTGGTATGATCTCGGCTCACTGCAACCTCCGCCCCCGCAGCTTCAAGCGATTCTCCTGCCTCAGCCTCCCAAGTAGCTGGGATTACAGGCGCCCGCCATCATGCTCAACTAATTTTTGTATTTTTAGTAGAGACGGGGTTTCGCCATGTTGGCCAGTTTGGTCCCGAACTCCTGACCTCAAGTGATCCAACCACCTCAGCCTCACAAAGTGCTGGGATTACAGGCATGAGCCACCACACCCGGCCTACTGCCAGGTTTTAAGAACATTTCAGGAAAAGTAGGTGACTATTCAGTTGGATGAACAAAAAAATTTTACTGAAACTTGTGAGATTCTGTCTCAAAAAAAAAAACCAAAAACATAATTCAAGCTCCTATTAGTATCCATTGGATGTATAATGCTTTTCTTTCAATCTTTTATAACCTTTATCGCATGTAAATTAAGGATAGACTTATACTTTCCATAGATTCTCTCATGTTTTCACATTGGTTTAAACCAGGAATAAACATTTTTTTTGAGACGGAGTCTCACTCACTCTGTTACACAGGCTGGAGTACAGTGGCACACTCTTGGCTTCTGCAACCTCCTCCTCCCGGGTTCAAGCAATTCTCCTTCCTCAGTCTCCAAATAGCTGTGATTACAGGCATGTGTCACCACATCCAGCTAATTTTTTGAACTTTTAGTAGAGAAGGGTTTCACCATGTTGGCCAGGCTGGTCTGGAACTCCCGACCTCTGGGGATCCGCCCGCCTTGGCCTTCCAGAGTGCTGGGATTACAGGTGTGGGACACCACGCCTGGTCTCAAAAAGGTTTTTCTACTGTTTTTAATGAAGTAGAGTTTAAATTGTCCTTCAAAATATGAGCAGGATGCTGAGCTAAGGATTGCAACAGTTACTATCACATGAACATGCAGAAACAAAGGGCAGGTTTTGCTTCAGCGATCCTCACACAATGGAAGAAACACAGGACATCGTCATTCTTTAAACAACACATATTTACTATGCACAAGGCACCATTTCAGGTGTCAAGAGACAGAATGAGGCTGAGCACGGTGGCTCACGCCTGTAATTCCAGCACTTTGGGAGGCTGAGGCAGGCGGATCACGAGGTCAGGAGATCGAGACTATACTGGCTAGCACAGTGAAACCCCATCTCCACTAAAAATACAAAAAATTAGCCAGGCGTGGTGGCAGGCACCTGTAGTCCCAGCTACTCAGGAGGCTGAGGCAGGAGAAGGGTGTGAACCCGGGAGGCGGAGCTTGCAGTAAGTCGAGATCACGCCACTACACTCCAGCCTGGGAGACAGAGCGAGACTGCCTCAAAAAAAAAAAAAAAAGAGAGACAGAATGATGAAAAAAGAGGATCAGGCCCAGTGGCTCATGCCTGAAGTCCCAGCACCTTGGGAGGTTAAGGTGGGCAGATCGCTTGAGCCCAGGAGTTTGAGACCAGCCTGGGCAACATAGCGAGAACCTGTCTCCACAAAAACAAAAAGTAGCCACGGCCACAAAAACAAAAAGTAGCCAGACGTGGTGGCATGTGCCTGTAGTCCCAGCTTCTCAGGAGGCTGAGGCAGTAAGATCACTTGAGTTCAGGAATTTGAGGCTGCAGTGAGCAATGATCATGCCACTACACTCCAGCCTAGGTGACAGTGACAACCTATCTTGAAAAAGAAAAGAAAAAAGAAAAACATCTTTAAACACATGGAGCTTATATTCTAGTGGCACATAACAGGAGATAAGGCTGAAAGAAAGAAACCAGGCAGGATGTCACTGCAGTATTCAAATATAATCTGCAAAAGCCTGAATTAGGGCAGGGACTGCAGGAATGAAAAGGAGGGGGTGGATATTGAAATCCATTTATATTAGGATGATTTATGTAATAATTTACAATGAAGTTATATCCATGACTTATTATTCAATGCTTATTCAACACAGGAAGAACAAAGTTATTAACTTCTCTGAAATTTTACTATACACAAACTTACCTTCTTATTACATGTAACAGGCAAATTCCCAACAAATACAGTTCTCTCGTTCTTTAATCTCTCTTCTTCTTCGTTGATTTGAATTTTCTTTCTTTGACTGATAACTGTGTCATCTACATCATCAAGTATTTTTCTATCTGCTACTTTAACACCAGGTTGAGAATTTTTCCTTTTCTGCCCTTGTTTCTGGTGAATTTCTTCTTCTAAATCAGCACTCGCTAGAGCACTTTCCCTTTTTAAGGCAAAAAATAAAACAAAATAAGCAGTAAGAGTCATACCAGGTAGATTTAGTATTTCACAAAGCACAGCCCTACCTTCTCATTTAGAAATATTTTCCAATGTCTTCTGAATTTTCCTAGATTTACCACTCACAAATATATCAAAATTTTTAAAGCAGCTTTATCTAGAAACTGACTAGTATCTTTAGAAAAAAAATGATTTAACTCAAGAGTTAGAAAAAGTTAAGCTCTTTTTTTTTTTTTTTTTTTTTTTTCGGAGACAGGGTCTCGCTCTGTCACCCAGGCTGGAATGTAGCAGCGTAATCACAGCTCACTGCAGCGTCGACCTCCCAGGCTCAGGCAATCCTCCCACCTCAGCATTCCAAGTAACTGGGACCACAGGCGCATGCCACCACACCTGGCTACATTTTTTTTTTTTTTTTGAGATGGAGTTTTGCTCTGTCACTCAGGCTGGAGTGCAATAGTGCAATTTCGGCTCACTGCAACCTCTGCCTCTCAGGTTCAAGTGATTCTCCTGCCTCAGCCTCCCAAGTAGCTGGGATTACAGGTGCTCGCCATCACGCCCAGCTAATTTTTTTATTTTTAGTAGAGACAGGGTTTCATCATGTTGGCCAGGCTGGTCTTGAACTTCTGACCTCAAGTGATCTGGTGATCACTGGACTAAAGGTGTGAGCCTTTTTACATATACACAAATACATATACACATATTTCTGAGACAGAGTCTAGCTCTGTCACCCAGACTGGAGTATAGTGGTGCAATCTCAGCTCACTGCAACCTCCGCCTCCCTGGTTCACAACAATTCTCCTCAGCCTCCCAAGTAGCTGGGATTATAGGCGCCCGCCACCACGCCCAGCTAATTTTTTTTTAAGTAGAGACGGGGTTTCACTGTGTTGGCCAGGCTGGTCTCAAACTCCTGACCTCTTGATCCGCGTGCCTCGGCCTCCCAAAGTGCTGTGATTACAGGGATGAGCTACCACGCCCGGTTTTCTTTTATATTTCTTTTGTAGAGACAGGGTTTTGCTATGTTGCCCAGGCTGGTCTTGAACTCCTGAGCTCAAGCCATTCGCCCACCTCAGCCTCCCAAAGTGCTAGGGTTACAGGCATGAACCACTGCAGGCAAGAATAAGTGAAGCTCAATTTTTGAACACGTTAAATCTGCCAGGCAACAGCAGCAGCAAGTTCATCTAAACAGAAGCTGATTCACTTAAAGCTCTTGGAGATTTAGTTTACACTCTATCAATGCCTAATTTCATTTTCTACTCTAGACCTTTAGGGGCACTATCACACTCCCTGAGACTCTAAAAAGGTTAATATGGCAGCAGAGTACTTACTCTGTACAAGCAACATGGCCAATAGGAAAAACCAGATTCCCTACTTCTCATACTTCTGTAATATTTAAAGGACTCTTACCAAAAGTAAATTGTGAAATGGTAAATACAATATAAAGTATTGCTGGATATGGATAAGCAAGGTCTGAGCATCAATCTGAAAGGAGAACTAAAGGATATTAAGGAGTGAGGGAAGAGAAGAGCCAGTAAGAATCATAAAAATGACTCACTTATCAGCAAATACTTACCAGGTTCCTACTCAGTTCTAGGCTCTGAGGATACAAAGATAAAGAAACAATCAAAGGCCTCCAGTAGTCTAGTGAAAAGACAGACCAAGTTCACAATAAAATGGTAACAGCTATGATACATGGTATGCACACAAAAACAAGAAAGGCTTCTCAGAAGAGGAAATCAGTGTCTGGCACACAGTCCAATAAAAGCTGACTGTCATTACTCCTCCCTTGAGGACAGGGTCCATGTCTAGTGTTTTGCTCGCTACAGTATATAAAGTGCCTAGCAGGAGTGAAAGGAAATGAGACAGTACAGTGAGGTGGGAACTAGGTCAGGAGGGACCTTCAGTGTTGCACAAAAGTGCTTAGATTTTATCCTATTGAAGATGAGGAGACACTGAAGACTGAGAGCATCTAAAAAAGATCATTTGGGCAGAAGAGTGGAAGGTAATTAGAAAGGGGATAAGGTTGGAGAAGGGAGACTAGTAAGGATATGGTTACAACAGTATCTGAGAAGACTGATCAGACTGACCAGAGCAGGGAAGGAGGTGAAGAGGAAAAGGCAGATTAAAGAGATAATTAAAAAACAGCATCATCAGGACTTGGCAACTGATTAGCTAAGCAAGGAGAGGAAAGAAGACAGGATGACTCTCAGGCCACTAACTTAGGCAACTAGAAGGCTAGTGGTAGCACTCATGCCAAGGAACAGGTCTGATGAGAATGATGAGCTCCCAGTGGAGCATTCTTACCTGGAGGTACATAGGGAAAAAGAGGTGCAAATGCCAGGAGGCAAACAAACACACACGTCTGGAGATCAGGAGAGAGATCACGGTGGGCACAAGAGATACTGCCCCCAACAAAGGGTGACAAAGGGTCACAAGAACATGACCAAGAATGAGACCCCTGAGGGAAATGCACATTTAAAGAGTAGTCAGAGGAAAAGATACCACAATAACCCCAAGAAAGAATTGGCCAAGAAGACAATCAGAAGAGATTTCTCTCACAGAATCCAGCAGCTTCAACAAGAAAAGCAGCTACGTGAAGGGTAACAGAGGACTCATAAGACAAAAGCTGCACTGCCCATTACATATGTCAGAGAGGTCAGGGTGGCCTCAGTGAGCACAGCTTCAGTGGCACAGTCAGGACACAGAATAAAACCCGCCACCATCAGAATGCAGTGCGTGGAAGGGTGAACAGAGTCAAGAAAAGAGAGAAAGTAAAGAACAGACTACTTTTCCTAAAAGCTAGACTGAAGGGAAGGACTGTGGGAATGGCAGCAAACAGAGACATGCAATTATAAGGGTTTTTTTTTTTGGTGGTTGGGGGGGAATGTCCTTTTTAAAGATTAGAATCTTGACCACATCTATATAGTAGAAAGAGGGATAAGGGCCGGGCCGGGCATGGTGGCTCACGCCTGTAATCCCAGCACTTTGGGAGGCTGAGGCTGGGGGATCACCTGAGGTCAGGAGTTCGAGGCCAGCCTGGTCAACATGTGAAACCCCATCTCTACTGAAAAAACACAAAAATTAGCTGGGTGTGGTGGTGGGTGCCTGTAATCCCAGCTACTCAGGAGGCTGAGGCAGGAGAATCGCTTGAACCTGGAGGCGGAGGTTGCAATGAGCCAAAATTGCACTATGCTCTCCAGCCTGGGCGACAACAGCGAAACTCCATCTCAAAACAAAAACAACAACAACAAAAAAAAGAGTGACAAGGGAAAGAGGGGAATGTGGATGGATCTGACGGCACAGTCCCTAAAAAGGCAGAAGAACATACACGGTACACACAGCAACCAGGTGGTTGCGTTAATATTGGACAAGAGGGAAGACACCTAAGAAAGAGGGGAAGAAATAAGGCTGTGTACAGATACATTAAGTTTAAATAGGAGGACAAAAATAGCAGTTCCCAACTATTAGTGATTAATAGCTCCAGAACTGGTAAAAAGGTCTTCAGTTGAAAGGAGAAAAGGGAAAAGGAAATAAGGGGTTTGAGGAGAGTGACAAAGAAGAGAGGAATGAAGACTGTTACCTAGGTACATGTGATGGGATCACTATTTGGATCATGATTCAAATACACTGTTAAACAACATTATGCTGGCCGGGCATGGTGGGTCATGCCTGTAATCCTAGCACTTTGGGAGGCGGAGGTAGGAGGATGGTTTGATCCCAGGAGTTCAGGACTAGCCTGGGTAACATAGCGAGACCCTGTCTCTATTTTTCTAACTAAAAAAAAAAAAAAAAAAAAAAAAAATGCTGCCTGGATCACTTGAGTCCAGGAGTTTGCGACCAGCCTGGGCGACATGGCAAAATCCTGTCTCTACAAAAAATACAAAAATTAGCTGGGCATGGTGGTGCATGCCTATAGTCTAAGCGACTCAGGAGGCTGAGGTGGGCGGCTGGATTGAGTCTACGAGGCAGAGGTTGCGACAATCGCACCACTGCACTCCAACCTGGGTGACAGAGCCAGACCTTGTCTCAAAAAAAAAAAAAAAAATGTTAATGAGGGTAAAGAATAAATTTAAGAACACCAAACGTATTCTTAAATTACATACTTGTGCGGTGGCTCACGTATGTAATCCCAGCACCTTGGGAGGCTGAGGCAGGTGGATCATGAGGTCAAGAGTTCAAGACCAGACTGGTCAATATGGTGACACCCCGTCTCTAGTAAGAATACAAAATTTAGCTGGGTGTGGTGGCGCACGCCCATAGTCCCAGCTGCTCAGGAGGCTGAGGCAGAAGAATCACTTGAACCCGGGAGGCAGCGGTTGCAGTGAGCCGAGATTGCACCACTGCACTCCAGCCTGGGTGACAGAGTGAGACTCCATCTCAAAAACAAAACAAAACAAAACAAAACCAACCAGACAACAGTAAACCAGGCCGCGCAGTGGCTCATGCCTGTAATCCCTGCATTTTGGGAGGCCAAGACAGGTGGATCACCTGAGGTCAGGAGTTCAAGACCAACCTGGCCAACATGATGAAACTCTGTCTCTCCTAAAAATACAAAAAAAATTAACCGGGCAGGGTGGCGCTTGTAATCCCAGATCCTCAGGAGACCTGAAGCAGGAGAATCACTTAAATCCGGGAGGCCGAGGTTGCAGTGAGCTGAGATCAGGTCACTGCACTCCAGCCTGAGCAAAAAGAGCAAAACTCTGTCTCAAAAAAAAAAAAAAAAAGCAAACCAAACTCTTTTATATACATGCTGAAATATTTATAGATGAAACATAAGTTTTCCTTTTGCTTCCAAATAACAAGGGGGTGGCTGGGCACGGTGGCTCACACCTGTAATTCCAACACTTTGGGAGGCCTAGGCAGGCAGACCGCTTGAGGTCAGGAGTTCGACACCTGCCTGGCCAACATGGTGAAACCCTGTCTCGACTAAAAATACAAAAATTAGCCGGGCATGGCGGCGCACACCTGTAGTCCCAGCTACTCGGGCAGAGGCAGGAGAATCGCTTGAACCTGGGAAGGGGAGGTTGCAGTGAGCTGATATCAATGCACTCTACTCCAGCCTGGGCATGGCATCAAGATTCCATCTCAAAACAAACAAGCAAAAACAAATAATGAGGGGGTATATGAGTGGGGTAAAAATACAAAAGGGTTGGCCAAGTATTAATTTGCTGATGCTGAGTACATGGGGTTTCTTAGCCTTTTCAACTTTTCTATATGTACTGGATTTTCCATAATAAAAGTTTTGAAAAGTAAAAATATGAAATGAGAAAACTAAGACGAATACTGCAGGTATAGGAATGTTAATTTCTTTACCACCTAATTTCTTTAACATCAAATAAGAGAATTTTACCAACCTGTTTGCCAACTTTTTCTCTGCGTTAGTGTGTTTCTTCTTCGCTTTCACTTTTTTTGCAGGTTCTTGCAAAAGTGGTCTTTCAATCTGGGATGTACTTTCTTCCTCCTCATTCCGTTTCCTTTTTTTGATGGTTTCCTTTTTAAAAGTTTGAAGTTATATTTGAGACCCCATCCTTTTAGAATTCTGACCCTAAGCCATAATTTAGTGGTCTTTCTAAATGAGCATCTCTTCTCTCTCACTGGTATGTAAGAGTCATGAAAGGTAACTTACAATGAATCCTGTGTGCCCCCTTTAGAAATCGCGCTTCACGCGGTAGGTAAGAAGCCTGTTTCATATATAAGTGGTTTTAACCAGCTATTCGGGAAGAAAGCCCAGTGACTTACTTTAGGCACAGGCACGTACACGGGTTGAATCTGGGGCTCCAGAGAACTGAAGAGGGCCGCCAGCCGACCGGTGCCACCTCTGGAATGGTGCTCGCCGCGGCATAAGCTACTGGCGACCTGTCCAACCCTGTAGTCTCCCGGCGGACTCCCGCGAACGCCGTCGTCAGGGTTCTCTCTAGAAACGGACGCCAGAAACTCAGCCACGCCACGCATCACCGCTTCGCCAGCACGAGGGAACGTACAACATCCCTCCCCAGCTACTCGTGCCGCGCGCCACTCACCCCTCCTCGACACTTCTCTTTCTCTTCCGTTTGTTCATCCCTTCCAAGGCCATTCTTACTCCGAGAACTCCCAGACGGCAGCGGCGCGCGAGCTCGCACTTCCGGGTTCCGGGCACTTCCGCTCTCGGGCCACGCCCCCTCCTCCCCCGGCAGTAGGCCGCCAAGCCGCGGTGGGAGGCGCTCGGTGAGGCGTCAGGTTTGTCTCCTTTGGTTGGTGGTCCTTGCCGTTTCAGAGAAGCCTCATTTTGGGAGTGGAGGACGTCTTCTAGGAGTGATTGAAGCCTGCAGTGTGAAGAATCAGCCAGGCTAGGAGCGGGGTGTCCACCCAAGCCAAGGGAGAAACACCTAAAATACTGACTTGTTGAAAAGGAGGGAGGGTTGGCAAGAAATGAGGTTGGGGGTGAACGCAGTGGGGTGTTTACAACTGGCTAGTCGCTGTTAAGAGTACAAAGAGTTCTTTGTACTCTTCTTGCAACTTTTCTGAAACATGACATTATTCCAAAATAAAGACCACACCTCTAACGAGTCACGTCAACATACAAATTCGAAAGATTGTAATACGGCCCTGGAAAAGTAGATACTTGGCATTCAAAACTCTTCAAGGTGTTCTCAGCCCGTCTTCCCAGACTCATCTCCCTCCAGCCCCTGACATTCTAGCCTGCTTTTTCCACCGCCTCTACAGTTGTTATTCTTGTCCCCTCTGTTGTAATTGCCCTCCTCTTTCCCCTTATGCAAAATAATGCCCATCCTTCAAGGCCTAGCTCAGATACTGTCTAACTTAGACAGTGTTTTCTTTGCAGCCAGGCGCGGTGGCTCGCCTGTAATCCCAACACATTTGGAGGCCGAAGCAGGAGTAATGCGTGAGGACTAGGAGTCTGAAACCAGCCTGGTCGATCTAGCGAGACTTCCTCTCTACAGAAAACAAATTATAGGGGCACCTTTGTGCTCCGCGCCTGATCTTGGCTCATTGCAACCTCCACTTCCCGGGTTCAAGCGATTCTCCTGCCTCAGCCTCCCGAGTAGTTGGGATTACAGGCATGTGCCACCACGCCTGGCTAATTTTATATTTTTAGTAGAGACAGGGTTTCTCCATGTTGGTCAGGCTGGTCTCGAACTCCCCACCTCAGATGATCCTCTCGCCTTGACCTCCCAGCTTGCTGGGATTACAGGTATGACCCACCACACCCAGCTAGGTAGCAGATACTTACATAAGAAAACAGACTACGAAAGAAGTTGTGGTTGGAGATAGTTTTAAAATTATCTTCATTGCCATTCAGTGCTGTTTTTAACCATTTAGAGATCACTGACCGCTTTGAGAGTTTGAAATATGAGGACATGGTGGGGCAAGGTGGCTCACGCCTATAATCCCAGCACTTTGGGAGACCAAGGCGGAAGGAATGCAAGCCCAGGAGTTTCAGATCCACAACTGCACCATTTGCACTCCAGTCTGGCAACAAGAGCAAAACTCCGTCACAAAAAAACAAAAGGAGGCCGGGTGCAGTGGGTCACGCCTGTAATCTCAGCACTTTGGGAGGCCGAGGTGGGTGGATCATCTTAGGTCAGGATTTTCAGACCAGCCTGGCCAACATGGTGAAACCCTATCTCTACTAAAAATACAAAAATTAGCTGGGCGTAGTGATGGTCGCCTGTAATCCCAGCTAGTCGGGAGGCTGATGCAGGAGAATCGCTTGAACCCGGGAGGCAGAGGTTGCAGTGAGCCGAGATTGCGCCATTGCACTCCAGCCTGGGCAACAGAGCGAGATTCTGTCTAAAACAAAACAAAACAAAACAAAAGGAATTAACAAGACCCCACTCTAAAGTTTTTTCAGTAGGAAAAAAAAAAAAAAAACATTTTAGAGAACACCGTTAAGAAACCTATCATCTTGGCCGGGTGTGGTGGCTCACACCTGTAATCCCAACACTTTGGGAGGCTGAGGCGGGCAGATCATGAGGTCAAGAGATCGAGCCCATCCTGGCTAACACAGTGAAACACCCCCTCTACTAAAAATACAAAAATTAGCCGGGTGTGGTGACATGCGTGCCTGTAGTTCTAGCTACTCGGGAGGCTGAGGTAGGAGAATCACTTGAACCTGGGAGGTGGAGGTTGCAGTGAGCCAAGATTGTGCCACTGCACTCCAGCCTTGGGCAACAGAGCAAGACTCCTTCTCAAAAAAAGAAAAAGAAAAAAAAAAAAGAAAAACATACCATCTTAATATGTTAATTGTAAACTAACTTAGTAAAGTCTAGTTTAGGTGACCAGAAGTAGACATAGGTCAATTCTACTAATGCAATAAAATCCTCAAACCCTCTTAAGAAGCTAGGAAGTAGAACAAGAAGGCAGGTGAGACAGAGGCACAAAGGTATTAATCTCGACTCCAACAAAATTTGGAACAATTCCCCTATTCAGCACTGTTTCTATAACATACTCAGTACATGTATTAAAAGCTCCTCAAAAAACAGGGTTTCATGATTAGGTAGGATTGAAAACAGTAGGGTAAAGGAAGTTATTTAGGCAGGTATCTCTTCACAGGCCTTCTCTCAAAGTTTTTAATATGCAAACACTGTGGTTCTCTAAGAAAAGAATGTGCTATACATAGATTTCCCAAAATATATTTGGTTATAAATTCCCAGAGCATTTCCAGGGAGCAGTATTCTAGGAATTCATTTTGGGAAGCATCGTTCCACAGATTTAAAAGATCATCCCTTAAACTAATTTTTGTGAAAATAAAGGGCCACCACAAAGATGCTTTAAAAAATATGTATTTGAATGCTTTCTAGGCCTTAAAAAAGTTTATTTCCTTTCTCTTTTTTTTTTTTTTTTGAGACTGAGTTTTGATCTTGTTGCCCAGGCTGGAGTGCAATGGTGCAATCTCGGCTCACTGCAACCTCCACCTCCCGGGTTCAAGTGATTCTCCTGCCTCAGCCTCCCTAGTAGCTGGGATTACAGGCATGTGCCACCATGAACAGCTAATTTTGCATTTTTAGTAGAGACAGGGTTTCACCATGTTGGTCAGGCTGGTTTTGTCCTGACCTCAGGTGATCCACCCGCCTCAACCTCCCAAAGTGCTGGGATTACAGGTATTGAGCCTGGCCTTTGTATTAAAGAAAGGTTTTCTTTTGGTAGAAAGTCCAATAAGTGGGGCCAAAAAAACTAGATTATGGATTTTTAAAAGTCTGCAGCAAAGCAGTGTTTCTCAACCCAGATGCATATTAGTACCACTGGAGACCCTTAAAAATTAAAGATCAACATCCAGGTACTACCCCCAACCAATTAAATATAACTCCTTGGGAGTGGGGTGTGAGTACTGAATATACTTTTAACAATGTCCAGATGATTGCAATGTGCAATAGAACACACTGAAGTATAAAAGACCCCGAAGGGTCTAAATTAAAAATTTTTTAAAAGCTGCTGGTAATGGTTTCAAGTGTTAAATAAAAAAATAATAATTTTCTAATTTGGACAATTCTCCAAGTGGTAAGAAAAATATTTAAATTCAGACTCAAGCAAAATAGTGTATGCAAAGATAAAAGAATGCCTAGGTCGGGTGCAGTGGCTCATGCCTGTAATCCCAGCACACTGGGAGGCCAAGGTGGGTGGATCACATGAGGTCAGGAGTTTGACCAGCCTGACCAGTATGGTGAAACACCGTCTCTGCTAAAAAATACAAAAATTAGCCAGGTGTGCTGGCAGGTACCTATAATCCCAGCTACGTGAAGGCTAAAGCTAGAGAATTGCTTGAACCCAGGAGGTGGAGGTTGCAGTGAGCTGAGATTACGCCACTGCACTCTAGCCTGGGTGACAGAGCAAGACTCCATGTCCAAAAAAAAAAAGAATGTCTAATACATTCCTTATCTGGTTAAGACTTTTAATTTTCATAGGTAGACTCTTCCCTTTTTTGTGTATCAATTAATCCCGTGATAATACATGCTGGATATGTATGTTCCAGTCAGTCATCACATACAGAAATGAACTAAAATTACTAAATCTTTTAGAAACAAAAATCAAGGATTCACAAACTATGGCATTTTATTTCAGAGCCTTTGCTTACATTTGTACAATATATTACATAATTCTTCATTGTTTGCAGATCCTAATATATACTTTATAGCTTTTATTCTATAAGCTTTTTCTTCAACATTTTGCTGTCAACAAATCTTTACAGTCCTGTACAAATTTGAATAACTTGAAACCATTTTCAACAAAATTAGTTACTGTAAGCACACACTACAAGACTGAAAAAGCTTTTCTTAGAAAAGTTGAATGTAAAGGATTCTGACACGTTAGCATCTACAACAAAACGCATTGAAATTCTCACATGTCGTATTGCCAGAAACAAATAAAACATGCCAGCCCCATTCAAAAAAAGTACACAGAACTACAATTAAAACAGTAAAACAGTCTGTACAATAAAGTACTGTGTATTAACAGTGCCAGGTATTAAATAGCTTCAATGAACACATCCGCAATATACAAATGTCTTACAAAGGTGAAGAATTAAATACAAGTGCCAAACAGAACAGAGATTGGAATCATACAACATAAAGTCAATACAAGTGAAAACAATTTTGCATTCATTTTGGATTCTATACAAGGCATTTAATTTTAAAGGCCTACCACCCCCATTAGCTATTTATATTTAAAATAACCACCATCCTTTTGAGACAGTTCATATCAACAATCTTCAACCATACTAATACATTACTTGTTCCTGAAGTCCTTTTGTTGTAGCTCATAATAAAATAAGCAATACAAATGAATTATCTGTATTTAAGGGAAAAGAAACATTTACAAGAAAACACAAAAATATAACTGTTATAATTCATTATGAATAAATATACACTTTGAACTGGCTAAGTACAATCTTTATACATTGTTTAAGATTTAATACAGTTTATTAGCCATTTTCTTTTTTCACACAATGTATTATATCAAAATTAAAAAAAAATACTGATTTATAGAAAAATGGCAAAGTACAGTAGTTCCATTCCAATTTGAAGGGGCATGAAAAGCCACTGCAAGACCTTTTAGCCTAATTCAAACCTGTAAACATGTTCAGTCTTTTTATTTTAAA